ATATGTACATGTGTTACTTTTCAGCCAGAGACAATATGTACCGATGGACGACAATATGTGCAATGAGGGTATGTACATATTGTCGCCGACGACAATATGTACAAAACGACAATATGTACCGTCACAACTCCTCTTACCAGGCACACAACTAAGCACTAACGAGGTAGTCTCATAGTTCCATTTACACCTGAATTTTTCCAATGAAATTGCATTTCACATTTCCCACAAATACTTGGAAATATATATTTAAATCACCAAATGAGAGTGGCATTGTGGTTGTACCAAGAACATCTAAATTTCCACCATCCGCTGATTGAAAGGTCTTGTGCGCGCTCCAGTACAGGTCTATTTTGTGGTAGAATACTTTAGTAAGTATCTTCAGTAATAGATGTGTCGATTTGAATTTCTAAAGGCGTCCTTCGACCAATCCTGGAATCTTCAAGCCTTGAATCCCCTTAATGACATGGCTGTTTTCTCATAAACTGATCCGCCTGGTTTTTAAATATTTGTGCGTTACAGTGCTTGTTTCCGTTTCCTTGATACCGGTGCACATGCTGGCCGCTCTTCGTAGCAAAACAAATTTTAATACATTTTGGTCACCTAATCCATGCCTGATTGAAAAATTATATTGTTTTGTATATATACTAGGCCCATTGTGCACACGCCTATTACCTCGGTCCTCTCCCGTTTAAATTGAAGTTGACTTTATCTCTTGAATTTCTCTAAAGGCAGTCCCGCAAAATATGATATGGCGAATCACAATGATAACACTTCCTCTTGGGTCTGTTTTCATTTAGAGCAGTTGTCATCATTTTTTTTGTGTGTGTGTTACTTGATTGGTCTGGCATCGTTCTGATTTTGCGTCCCACTTGGAATATGATACACTGGTGGTCTCGGATATCTAATATATCGTGTGTTTTTTTATTTTCAGTCAATCTAAAACATTCTTTTTGCATGGCTGAGGTTACTGCATCATCAAGTTTCTTGGGTCAGGAACGTTTAATAGCTAGGCGGAAATCCTCGTTTTCGCCACAGTTGTCCAAAAACGCCTTGATACTTCCTTCCTGTACGTATCCCCGGTAACCTGGGTAGACCCAGCGATATAAATCTTGTATGGCTTGTCCGAAATCTCAGAAAGATTCAAACTCTTGCTTTTTGCGCAGTTAAGCCTCAGTCAAAAAGCTTTCTTTCATAGTTTTGTGTCCAAATCTACAGTCCATAGACTCTTTAATTTGAGTCCTGTCGTTCCGTTCAGCGTCTGATAGTCCGTAAACAAAAATTTCTGCTTGTCCCTGTAAACTTTTAAGAAAACTCTTTTACTCCTTTCTGTGTCCCAGAGATTTATTTCACTAATATTTTCAAAAAGGCGAATAAACTCAGTCCATATGTCTTATCCATCACCGCTTACTATTCGTTTTACGGGAATTTGTTGTGCCTTGTCAATTCTATGATGCACCAATGATTCTTTCGAAGTAGAATTTTCATAGGGTCGAGATGACACATTTTCGTGGTTTGGAAGTGGATATTGTTGCACTTTTTTTCAAGTGTTGCTTCGTTTTATCCTTTACAATAATAGCAAGGAGTAATAAACAAAATAAGACAAAAGCTACACATTTTGGGAATACCTTTGTTAAACACAATAACATGTATCCAGGAAAGTGCTGGTATAATGCAAATACGGCAGCACCACCAAAAATAAAGACAAAAATCCAGGAAAAAACTTGTACATGAAAGTTTTCTCATTTTCAGTATTTTTCTCACTACTGCATAATTATTACAGCGAGGAGTATTCGCTTGTAATGGTGTTCCAATAGCGTACACATCGCACTATAATGTTTTACGCCATCACCGTTCCCGGTTTTAAATTTTAGTCACGGTCTATGGGGGATAATGGGGGATAATAAAAACGCTTGATCAGTGAAGCGCTTGACGTCAACAATGGTGAAATATTGTATCGTTCCGCTTTGCGTCGTTTTGGGGGACACAGATTTCCCTCAGATTCAAATTTAAGATTAAAATGGAGAGTTGCAATACAGAGGATGGATCAGAAGACAAAAAAAAATCTATGGAATCCTGGAAAGGAGGACATTGTGTGCCATGCACACTTCACCGAGCATGACTTCAAAGACAAAGAGTCAAGTTAGCATCTCTAGACTCGTTGAATATAATTCAGCATTTATTTTAATTCGAATTCTGGTTGAATCATTTAAAGATTTCCCTTATTCAATAATTTTGTGTTGTATTCGTTTGCATAAATTAAATTACTTTAGGCAATGCCAGTTTTAAAGCCTTTTGAATTTTATCCCTTCTTTGTAATATACTGCATGTATCTTTAAGAAATGCACATCTATGACAGGTGAACGAAGTCGACCTAAACATGGAGCTTTCCCTTATGTGTTTGATTTTAAGAGCATGGGTACCCAGACTTTCCAACAAGAGACAGAAAGATCAAAGCGGAAGAGGCTGCGAGGCTACACTCAACAGACTGTTCAAGACACTCCTTTTACCACAGAGGTACAGATGGATGAAATGGCTGTACATGAAGTCGTCCTGGAACAGGCACCTTCTGAAACATCATATGAGCCAGAATATCTACGAGCTGAGTGTGCAACAGCTGAAAAGGAAGTTCAATGTGACATTCCTACACTGGGCAAATTTTCAAATGAAGGAATGAAGCTTGATAGTAAGATGATTTCCTATTACACTGGCTTAAATGGCTATGAGCATTTCATGCTCATCTTTAACATTCTAGGACCAGAAGCTTTTGATTTGAATTATAAATGTGCTTTGTTAAGCCCACAAGACCATTTTTTTTTAACTTTGATTAAACTCCGACAAACAAAAGAAGATGTGGAGCTTGCTATGCATTTTAAGGTTTGTGAATCAACTGTTTCAAAGATTATAACAACTTGGATCAACTTTTTGTATTTTTAATTTAAGGAGCTAGAGGAACAATTCTGATCCTCAAAAGATATCATTAAGGAACACATGCCAACCTATTTTGCTAAAAAGTTCCCTAATACACGCATCATATTGCATGCCATCGAACAACCGATCCACAAACCCTCAACTCTTGAAGCTCAGTCCAAAACATGGTCCTCCTATAAGCACAAAAATACCCTTAAAACCATGGTTGGTATAACTCCCAATGGAGCAGTATCTTATATATCTTCTGCTTATGGGGGATCCGCATCAGACTGACAAATTATTGAAAGGTCTTCCTTTGTAAATGAAGCTAAATTTGATGCTGGTGACAGCATAATGGCAGACCGTGGAATATTAATTCAAGATTTATTTGCAAATCAAAATGTTTCTTTTAACACCCCTACTCTTCTAAAGGGTAAGAGTCAGCTTAGCCCCGAAGACATAGTAAGAGATAGAAGAGTTGCTTCTAAACGCATTCATGTTGAGAGAGTGATTGGTCTTGCCAAGAGGTTTAGGATTTTGAAACACGAGCTACCAATGTCGAAAGTTCCCTTAGCTTCCAGAATTGTGTACATCTGTTTTATTTTGTCCAATTTCAGAAATTGTATTGTTGATAAAAGCGCCTGATCTAAGGCAATATGGAATATACAGTAAAGCATGCTTATGGTGACAGGGACGTACGATTTTGCTTCTTTATGAATGTAATTTGGTATATCTGTTAAGTTCAAAATATTTTTTAAAGCCATGAAGAATAAACTAGGGGTACTGTGAGCACTGATCTCACTAAATGATACCCCCCACCCCCCGTATGATTTTAATGGCAAAGTCCATGTTTTGCCCTGGGAGACCCAAAATAAGTGTCAGATCAAAAAGTAAAATAGGTGCACAGTGCCACTACATAACAAAGATACTGTGAAAGTCTCATTAAATTTCATTCAGTGGTAAAAGAGGAGTTAGAGATAAGAGAAGGTACCCAAAAGCGGATGGACGTACAGACGGACGGACATCTCGATCACAATATACCCTCCCACTTTTCAGGGGGGGGGGGGGTATAAAAAGACTTATGTAAGCAGCAATTCATTATAAGTCATTATATGTCATAATGTGGTAAATTTGTCTTGTGCATACAATGAATCTCAAGAGAGTTTTTTCAGCACATTTCAACTTAACAAGTAGTTTCAAAATGTTCATATTCCTGACATTTTGTGTGCGTGTCTTGAAAAAATGAAATAAAAGTCTTGGTCAAAAAAAGGGAGTCAGATTTGTTTGAAAATATTTTTTATGCAACAAATATATCATTTTTACTCTAGAGTGTGCTATTAACAATTAATAAAACATTACTTCTGAGAAGCATTTATGAGAATATTGATGAGAATTTTATATCATTTTACATGTAGGTGTTGTTTTTGAAAATGATCAGGAAGCCTTTAACATTCTCTGACACTCAAGCACATTATACATAATTTTCAGCATTTCACAATCAATGATAAAAATCTATAGGGTACAATACCATAAATTTCCAGTAGCTACAAAAGAATATTATGTATGGCAGGATGTATGCCAATTAAAAAAATATGGCATTAGTTTAATTTACAGTAAAGATGATAAAAAAGGTCGGAAGTGCTGTATATAAAACAACTCTAATTTTGGTCGATTTCAATTTTCTGAACAAAGTCATCCTTTAAAGTAAAAACTATAAAATAACAGTACTTTCTCTTCGAAATATACAGCTGACCTTGTATTTGAAAAAAATACTTTGAATTGTGTTTCAGAACAATCTCACCCTTGGAATTAAATTCAAGGAAACTAAAATGCTTTCCAGGAAATATCTTTTCATGTCTGCTACTATATGGACACTTGACTTCAATCAAAGAATCATCCGATACTAAACCATCAGGTGAAGCACCTAAATAAGGCTTTTGTACACATACAAACAAACCACAACTCTTCACGTTTAGGCCAGATTTAGTTTCAAACCTACTTATAGCTTTGTTTTCATAAACTCTACCATGTGAGGTGGCGAAAAGAAACTGCTGAACTACTAATATGTGACTGACATAACTTAGTCCTGCTTCTCCTATGTATGGCTAAACAAATGTCACCAAATCTAGAAGAGGTCAATCGCCATTTACGCTCTTCAAACCAAGACTTTGATGATGACTGGCCTCTTGTTCTCTCTTCAATTGCAGCTGCTTCTCTTTCTGTAACCTATCGAACCATTAACAAAATGTTTCAGACAAAGCAAATTTTCTTTTGAAAAAAGACAACATTGGATTTTAATGACTTTGTGTATGATAAAACTTCAGACTTCATAGCAGTTCAAGACTTTCATGAAAATAAAAACAATGCCATTTTGGGTAATGAGTAAATGACTTACTTGTGAAGCACTGTCTATTCAGTACTCAGTGATAGGCTTCTCAAGGTTATCGTGATCTAATGTAGCTGTCTATCAAATAAAAACATGTAAATTTGAGATTAAAACATCTTAATTTTTTTCATGTTAAATGTTTTATAGAACTAACAATATGTTAATTGAATAAAAATCAAAATAGATTGTAATGCATGTACCTGCATATCTGCTTTGGAATGAAGATATCGATAGGTCAAATTTTCTGACGTCATAGAACAGTAGTTAAATACTAAGTTTCTGGTTCTATCTGGAAATCCAGTACTGTTCCTGTATTTCACTGGTCTGGGGTCTGCAAATATATCCTCCGTCAGCCCTCTTTTCATTGGCAGCTATTCAGCTTTCACTGGTGAACCTGCAGTGTAAAATGTACTTTTTTATATGGAATTTCACTGATTGGCTGAGTAATTTTGAGGAGCAAAAAAAAAAAAAAAAAAAAAAAAAAAAAAAAAAAAAACCACTGAATTCATACACTGTTCATTATTTAGACTTTTCCACTAAACATTGTATTTTAAACATTATATTTCTAATGTGGATAAAAAAAAGATGAAAGTACACTTGTTTACATATTTTCATCCACCTTTTGTAACATTCTTGTAAAGTACTGCTTAATGTACTTTAACTAATACTTACATGTACCCATTGTAACTGTACCGTGGTTTATGAAAGACTTGAATTGTGAGTTTTCAGTGCAGGACTTTTCGATATACATCTCATCTCCTGACACAAACTTTGAGAGCATGAGAGCAACTGCTGCAACATGTTTGCAGGTATGAGGTCCACGGCCAGTAGGGCACTCAGTGTGAGTTGAGGATATCACCAGTAACTTTATCAAGTTTTAACTTGAAAGTGTAAGATTCCTGGTAATGTAGATTATATGGCAAGTGTTTTATATATATGTACATTGTGGTCTTGAAAAACATGTTGTGCCTCAGAGGAACTTAAATCATGTTTTGGACAGACCTTTGAATTTGACTGTTAAATGTAAATTTTATATGTTTGCAAAGTAATATATCAGTAGTTCTTTTGGTAACTTACTACTAAATTCAACATTTTACCTTATTTTTCATGGATGCTCCAACAATACCTTACAGGTACATATCACTTTCTTCAAACAGAAAGGAAACTGCTTGAATTCGTCTACTTTCCACCAGGTTTCGGCCTTTTTCAATCGCCTTTACGTCCCCAGAACATTGTTTGTCACCTGTATAATAATAACTGACTAAATGAATCCAATACATTTTGTAGTTTTTGGATTACATGTATCAACAGATCAAATGATGTTAATATTCTGAGTTCTTACTAATTATTACTACTAAGTATCAAAATTTAATAAATTACCGGCCAATCTGTGTACAAAATACAGATCAATTTGTTCCAAACAGAGTTGTGGAATAAGCTCTCAGTGGATCTCTTAGTTGTCGGAATCCTTTTGAAGTCCCTTAAACTTCCTAGGGTGTAGGTATCAAGATTGGGTCACTTTCAAAATTTCTGTTTCTGTCGTATGCTCTTAACCTAGTTCACCATGTAAGTAGTACACTTAAATAACACATAATATTCATTTACAACAACTCGAAAACGATAACTGTATAGGTTGGACTAAGCTCGATATGTTTACATTGACAACGCAACTGAACAGCTGAATAAAAGTTTTCATTCGTGATACATGTAAATAATTACTGTATGCCATGTACCTCTCTATTAAGTCTGCCTTTCTGCCTTTCGTCTTTGCTCCTCTGAATATTAGTTCTTTTTTTTAATTTTTCAACAGGCCAAAATTCTATTGCCTTGTCAAAATCAAAAGACGCGCTTCTAGAATCCATATTTTCAAGCGTTTTAAAGATAAAGCGCTTGCGTCATACCCCTTATTTAACATAACAGAGAAAACCAAAACCGCTGATGGCGTAAACAATTCATCAAATTTCGGCGAACTGCACTGTGATCATCTCGAGGAACAGCTTCACAAATTCTTGTAGTTTCTGGTGTAATAGTGTTAGGTATTCCTGATGTAATATCCATATTTACCGGTGAATAGTCTGTTCGTTCATGGAACAATTTTAATAAAAGAGCACAGTTCGCAAATAAAACATATAAAAAATAATCCAGGTTTTCGGAATAAATATTTTACCGGAGTATGTGTTTTAATTCTACATCCATACGCTAGGCACATATAGAAATGGCTCACACTTCCCTTTTCCCATCTTACAACAGTTTCTGGCAATTTTCACTTTTTAAGAACTTGCAAAAATTTTGGAACTCTTGGTGCAAATAGAAATTTTCCACTCTCTCAAAGACTTAATTCTCAAAATCGTCGTAGTCGTAAATGTAAGACAGTTTTGGTGAATGCATATTTTCTATATTTCCCATGTTAGACACACAAGTCACAATGATTGATTGTATATTGTTTTACGTCCCATTCGAGAATTTTTCACTCATACAGAGACGTCACCATATACCGGTGAAGGGCTTCAAATTTTGACCTTTACTCGGCACTCAGGGCCATTGAGCAGTGAGGGATCTTTATCGTGCCAACGCCTGCCGTGACACGAGGCCTCGGTTTTTAAGGTCTCATTCGAAGGACCCGCAACTTTCACTTCAAAGTACCGAGCGCATGGCGAAGGAACAGTTGCTACCTATTTTTATCGACTTAGGTCATTCGCGGCCGAGATTCGAACTCACGGAGCGAGCGCTCTACCGACTGAGCTACCGTGAACGGTCAAGTCACAATGAAATAGAGTTTATATCACATATTATATAAAGGAATCTATCCTTCCGCTGCCACGAATTTTATTGCCGACCGAATGGTCGTATTCATATTTGGTCCTCACTATTAAAAGTCTATATTTTGTTAGCGTAAAACCCTTCCTAACATCTTGAAATGAGAATCAGGTTCTGCAGTTTATTTACGCATATCACAGTTATATACAATCACTAAATTAACGGCAAGATGATTCATGTAACAAACATTCTGAGAGTATTGCATTAGCAATACTAGTCCCCTACCAGCAAGTTTAATCTGGTTCCCGTTAAAAATTGAAAATGCCATAATTCCGTCAAAAATCAATGAAGCGGAACGAAATGCAAACTTTTTCTATAACTCATCAAGGTACATGTATAGTAACATACCAAAAATCAGCTCAATATCTGCAAGCGTTTAGAAAAAAAAATTACGGAAAACCACGAGAAATTGAAAAGGTCGCAATTCCGTCAAAAATCATTGAAGCGGAACGAAATACAAACTTGATCTGTAACTCATCAAGATACACTCACATACCAAACATTAGCTCAATAGCTGCCATCGTTTAGAAAAAAAGGTGCGGAAAACCACGTGGGACAGACTGACAGACAGACGGAGGGACAGACAGCTAGACAAACGGATGGACAGACTCAGAGGAAACCTATAGTCCCCTCCGGTTTCACCAGTAGGGGACTTATAATCACAATATAATCCTATAATTCAAATAATAAGAGCGTAGTTAACAATCCAATTGCAAAATCAAAGTCCTGTCTAACACAGTTTCAGCGCAGTATGTACATGTATACTATGGATCCGCTTCTGACAAAAAAAAAAAAAGCTTATATTTTGGATCCCTATGCAATTAAATATATAATTTAATATAGCAATCAGCATCCGATACATAGCTTAGGCATGTGGGTTAATTAAGATGTACATTAAAGATTAGGATATACAAAGTGTCAAAATATCATCAATTTATGAATTAATTAAGATAGCATATTTAAAACTATTACACAATACACTCCTAGACTACATATAGCTCAAGTTTACAGTTATATTACAAATGATTCCCTTTCTTTTTAGTGCATAATTTATCATTATATCCTCTAACCAATAAACTATTCTTCCTGAAAGACAAAGTGGTCTTCTTGATTCTGGCAACAAATTTTCTACATTTCATTCAGTAGAGAAAATTTTTTGTGTGACTTTAAGGAGGGATTAATATTTTTCTTTACTCATCATAACTGTACAATTTCAAATAGAAATGGTAAACTGTGTTTAAAATCCAACAGAGACTATAATTTGGCGAAACTACGGGGAATGAAAATATCTCCTTTTTTGCCTGTCAAAATCACTTAGAGAACAATACATTTAGTTAAATTTTTTAAACAATCAATGACTTCAAGAAATTTTGAAATGTTACTTAAATTAATAATAATGACTTAAACTTTTTAAAGATAGGAAATTGATAATAATTTTCTGAAAAATTAAAATCTTGTTAGCAATTTGAAAGCTTCCAATCTAAAAATAGATTTGAGCAAAAATCAGTAAAAAGTGTTTTTCTTGCTTACTAAACGGTCAAAGCTTTTGTTTTTGTATCATTTTTTATATTTGTATGAATACTTTACCATGTGTCAAAATAAAAAAAAAATATTTGTATATAAGAAGTATATTAAAATAACTTATATATCTTTAAAAAATAAGAAACACAGAGAAAATTTGGATTAGCCAATATCTTTTTAAATTAAATCATGTCAATTAATTTGGTAGAATCATTTGATAGACCCGATGTGGTAACATCTTTTTGTGCAAAATAAAAAACATTTTATCTTTTAAAATTGAAGTAGGCATCACATGGGTAGCAACAGTAATTTTTTTACTCTAAATGTCAAAGAAAAAGATAATGACCTTGACCTGACCTTGCTTCTAAAATAAAACGGTCAAATTTAATCTAATTGATAATGTCACTAATAATAAACCTAATAATAAACCTAATGAGGAGATTGGAAAAGTGCTGTTAAAGGCTTCTTTGAAAAGATATTTGTATTGAGGTATAGTAAGACTGAAAGAATGGTACTGTTTATCAGCAATTCCATATTTCATTTTTATGGTTGGTTTATAAGCACGGGTTATGTCCGATTATGCTAACATAGGCATTCATTTAAGATTTTTATTTACATGACACAGCCGGACTTTCGGTCTATTATATAGCTCTCCACTGTAAAAACATGTTCTGTATAAAACTAAAGTGTATCAATGCAGTTTTCCACAAATGTATCTTGAGTAACAGGACTCTTACCATTTAGGAATAAAACGTACAAAAGTCTTCCCCCGGACTTGTTTCAGTGCGTATTTTTTTTTTCACATAATTTCAACTTCGGCGTTCCAAAACTCACTATTGCTTTTGACTTTCGACTCAAAAATGAATCTGAGTTACATTGCCATGTACAATCTTATTTATTTTCCATGAGTTAAAATTTGCGAATATATTGAGTTACGGTGGGGTTACAACTACTCCGGCGCCATTTTGTTTTTTACGAGAAAATATGGGGCACCCAAAACTTAACTTCTCTTGAGTTTTAATCGTTCCCACAAAATTGATTAAAACACCTGACGAATTAATGCCAGCAAACTCTGTAACATCGTCCACTATTCTCCTGTGATTGTCAACTTTGTCATTTTCTCACATCTAGGTCCTTTTTACGCAATAATTTGAGCGAGTTTCGATAATAACATGCTATGTTTGACACACTCTTAAACTATCTCAGAACTATAGGAACCCCTGAATATAACTCCATATAATAGACTGTAGTCTATGTAAACATTCTCCCAACTGGCATTTGTGTCCGTTGGTGTGCATCCGAGTAATGAGCAAAAGTTGACTTTAATTTTTTTTAAAAATTTGATGAAATTGTGCCTCTTATTTCGTCATTTTTATGGTCAGTATGCTAAACACACGGGATTCTGACGTCATTTTCGGAGTTATTACGTCATAAAAATTACGAAGTGACGTAACAGTCAATGTATATTTTCTGATCTTTCCAATGAAAGATGAAATATCAAACTCAATAATTTCCGCTAAACGGTTAATATTGTTTTAAGCAGTTCTCAGAACCCCTCGTAACTGCATCTGTTTTAAAATTACTTAATAAAATCAGTGAATATATTCTAATAGTTTCATCATTTCTATTACCTCACCTGCTAAATAAAACATCTTGGAGGATCAACCTATCGACTTCCTTTAACACTAGATCCACCATGTACAAATCAGCGAGTATTGAAATGTTCGCTAAAGTTTTGTTCCTCTCTTGACAAACATCGTACGCTGTGTGCCATGACGATTCGGGTAAATGAACTGTGTACCTACACTTTGGATCAAATTCTGAAAAAAATAGGACACCTTTCATGCTATTTAATTCTGAAATAATTATAAAGTAGGAATATATATTGAAAATGGATCATCTCAAATCCGTAATACAGTGTTGGACCTCGGAAAATGACGTCGAACAAATATACTAATTGTCAAATGATTTTGAATAAAAATATCATTATATGAATCTTAATCATATCTAGAAATCAACTACAAAATAAATCTTTCTATAAGTTTAATTATGCTGTGGCCTCTAAGAATAGATGTCAGGTGTTACTGAAACGATCCGAGAAAAGTTATTCCGGTACAAGCGGTATTTTAGTCATGTTTTCGCTAGATGGCGTTGTTGGTTACATAGGGTATAAATACAAGTGAAGCGGCAGAGCTGTGTTAATTGCGAAGGTGATGCTGAAGTGGCAACACAAGCGGCGGACCATTAATGACCAGAGGTAACTTTTAGTTAATGATAATAAATAAATATTTAAAGCTTTAGACGTAACTGAATAAGTCTTTCCTGGCTTTAGATACTGTCTGTTATTAAGAAAGTGACTGTGGGAGCCAGTAAGAGCAGTAAAGAGCCGAACTGTAGGAACTGCGCTGTAAGAGCCAGTATTAAAGAAAAGAGCTGTAGGAGCCGGTATTCAACGAACCGAGCTGTAAGAGCCGGAATTCAACGAGCCGAGCAGTAA